GGTGGTGGGTGCTGGGGCCGTGCTGGGCGCCGGGGAGGTCGGGGTGGGGGTGGGTACATAGAGGGCCGTGCTGGGTTCCACGGTCTCTGGGAGTGTGGTCAGGCCTGGGATCTGCAGGTGGGTGGATGTGGGTTGTTTCTTGGAGGGTTCGTGGGTCGGGGGCAAAGAAGTCATCTGGCTGCCTAGAGAAGTGGGAGGTGCTGAGGAGAGCATGCCCCGGCCAGCGGCCGGGGCACTAGTAGAGAGCTTGACCTCAGCCCCTGTGGTAGGTACATCGAAACTGTCATAGTAGTCATCACTGTCTGTGTCGCCAAGACTGGTCGGGCAGCCCTTTCCTGGGTAGGTGTACATGGGGGCATTGCCCAGGTTGGCACAGCGCACACTGGCCACGTTAGAGGTCATGGCCTTGACATCCACACCCGCCTTCCACAAGTACACGTTGGTGGGATTGTCCTGGAGCCACTGGCGGAGGTAGAGGATCTCACAGTCACAGTACCAGGGGTTGCCATGGAGGAACACATAAGGCAAGGGGGGGCCCTTGAAGAAGCCTCTCGGCACCGTGCGCAGCCAGTTCCCGTGCAGGTACAGGGTGTCCAGGGCCTCCAGCCCGTGCAGGAGCCCGGGGGGCAGCTCCCGCAGCTTGTTGTTGGCCAGGTTGAGTTTCTCCAGCTTGGTTGTGGTCTCCAGGAGCCCGGGGGGCAGACTCCTGAGCTTGTTGTTCTGCAGGTAGAGCTCACAGAGGTGGCTCAGGCCTTCCAGGGCGCCCGGAGACAGTGAGCCCAGCTGGTTGAAGGAGAGGTCCAGGGTGGAGAGTGCAGGCAGCGCTTCTCCTAAAGGGGGCAGACTTTGCAGGTTGTTGTGGGACAGGCTCAGGCTCTCCAGCCTCCACAGCTTCCCCGGGGTCTGCAGGCTGCTCAGCCCGCAGTGATCCAGGTTCAGCTCGGCGAGGTGGGCAAGGTGCACCACGGCTGCTGTGGAGAAGGCGCCCAGTCGGTTGCTGCTCAGGAGAAGGACGCCTGTGTCTGCCGGCAGGCCCTCGGGCAATGCGGTCAGGTTTCTGTTCTCACAGTTTACTTGCAGCAGGCTGGCCACTTTGGAGACTTGGCAGGTGGGGTGGGAGTGTAAGGGACTGGGCAGCAGGAGCAGCAGGATGAGGAGCGCCATCGGAACCTGCGGGCAGAAGGAGTGAAGGAGCGCCATCTCCTCAGGCTCCAGCCCCCCACAGCTGCGGGTCCCCTCCAGACACCGCTGCCACCCGCCCCCCCCCCCCGACTTTCCCTTCTCTTCCTCCCTCCCCTCAACCCCTGGCTCTCATCCCTCCTCAGAGCCGCAGCCTCTGGACCCAGTCCCCACTTACAGTCAGGCAGAAGGACCTGTGAGGTCTCGGCCTCTTCCAGGGTGCGACTCCTCTCTTCTAGCTCCAAGGAGAGCCAGGCCAAGAGTAGGAAGGAGATAGAGATGGGGAGGAAATGAGGACCCTGATAACAGCTCCTGTGACCAGGGAACCATCCCTCCTGGCACAGGCGCTTATCACCCCTCCCCACAGCCCTCTGGTTTTAGACTCCCTTTCCTTCCACCGTGGAGAGAGCTAGAGACTGTCCAGCCACCAACTTTATCTCTCTCTGCATGCTCCCCTCCCTTCTCCCAAGCTCTTCCTAGAGATGCCCCGTTCCTCTTTGCTGCTTCCCCACTGCCCCTTCCCTACTGTAAGCCGACTCCCTCCCCACCCCGGGGCTGCAGGCAGTGTGAAGACCTGACAGCTGGGGAGGCAATGTGAAGACCT